ATATGCTGGTATGGTAGCTCATGCATATGATCCTAGTACTTGAGAGACTGAGTAGGAAGATTGTGAGTTCAGGCTAGGCTGTGCTACATAGTGAGACTCTTTCTCCAAAAATGGTGTCTGTATCTACATATGTATATATACATACATATGTATATGTATAAATATTTCCATGAGTCTATAACAATGAAATTACATCTGTCAATTTGTGGCCCTAATTCCTAGTTATATGCGAGATGTCTTTTCAAAACCACCTTTTCAGGCTGGTAAGTTAGCTTTGCGGGTGAACACATGTAAAGACATAAAGGTGGAGGGAGAGAACCAACTTAACAAAGCTGTGGCATGTGCATGCACACACATCATATACATATACAATAGGAAAAATAAAATATAAAAGCCAAGCTTCAACTTAAATTTTTTTTTATTTATTATTTTTTTATGTATATGAATGTTCTGCCTGTATATAAGTGCACTGGTGTCATGTAATGCCTGGGAGGCCAGAAGAGGGTGCCAGATTCCCCTTGAACTGGAGTTTGGAGTTGTTAGCTGCCATGTGAGTGCTGGGAACCAAACCCAGGCCCTCTGTAAGAGTAGCCAGTGTTCTTAACTGCTGAACCAACAGCCCCCACTTTTAAAATATTGTACTGACTTTAAAATGTTATGGGTATATGTTAAACATAGTGAGTTTCATTATGACATTTTCATACATGTACATAATATAATATTTCAAGCATATTCACCCCCAACCCTCTCCATCCCCTCTTCCTCTTTTGAGGACTTTTTTTTCTTGTGACCTGATGCATTTCATTAGTGATGCTTACAGAAGCACCTTACCAGTGGTCATGCCACTGAAGAACATATTTCTCCTCCCCTTGCCCCCCATCCACCTTAATGTTTGTATAAATCCTCAAGGAGGGGTGTGGCCCCAGGAGTTCCTGCCCCTTCCATGACAAGCCCAGTCTTGCCCATATCTGTGTCAGTAACCATAGCTGCTGTGAACTCCATGCTAGCAATCATGAAGGGCTCATTTGTCAGTGTTCCACATGCCCCCATCCTTCCTTCTGCTCTTACATTCTTTCTGCCCCCTTTTCCATGATGTTCCTCTAATCCTTGGAGAAGGTGGTATCAATAACCTATTTATGGCTGGGCATTCACCAGTCATTCACTCTGAATGCTTTGATCAGCTATGAATCTCACTACATTAGGCACTTCAAAAAGATAGCTTCTACTCTTGAAGCAGCTTAGACTCTCTCAGGATTAAGTCTATAGCATTGACAAAAATCAAGATGTTAGCTCTTTTACAAATTTTAAATAAAGATATAAGTTGTAATAAGTCCCATTCTTTCAGTAAAGTGGGGTTATTTTGATTTTAGCTAGAATTGACTGACATCAGAACTCCTTTATGAAAACTACAACCGTTGCTAAATACGTATTTAATTTCACCCCTTGAATTTCAGATTTAAATGGTATCCTTTGGATATTACCAGAGCATTTAACTAATCTTATTTTCAGGCTGATAATCGGAAGAGACACAAAGAAGAAAACAATGACCACCTGGATGACTGTAAAGCTGCAGAACACGCGTGGCAGAAGCACAAGCAGCTCAACGAGTCCATCATCGTAGCTCTTTTCCAGGGCCAGTTCAAATCCACAGTGCAGTGCCTCACCTGTCACAAGAAGTCCAGGACCTTTGAGGCGTTCATGTATTTATCTCTGCCACTAGCATCCACAAGTAAATGCACATTACAGGTACGTTTAAGACGGAGAGAAAATGTTGGTAAAGATTGTGTGTATGTATATAGAAACGTGCTTCATTCAGCAGATAGCTCTCATCACTGCTTCCGTAGCACTTAATGGCAAATTAGGTAAGCTACATTCTAGCCCTTGGTTTTTTGAAACAGGGTCTTGCTATGTAGCTCAGCCTGTAAACTCGCGATCACCCCAAACCCCCTCCAATGCTTAGAGTATAGGTGTGTGCCACTAGGCACAGCTAGATGTTTTCTTTATTGAAAAGCTATCTTCCTATTAAATATTCCTTCAAAGTTGTTTTTGTTTTTTGCTTTATTGGCTGTATTGGAGGGGTTTGAACCCCGAGCCATGTGCATGCTAGACCACCACTTCACCATTCAGCCAAATCTACATCCCTAAAAGTTTGTATTTAAGCTTTAAAAGTTAATTTTGGTCTACTTTTTCTTTTTTAAATTTTTTGCGTTTTTGTGTATTTCATACAGAAAATCATCTTTACACCCCTTTCCCCTTTGGCACCTCCCATAGCCCCTCCACTGGATTCATACAATCTGTCACTTTTGTTAAGGCCTATCATGTAAAGTTAGTGTCCCCAGATGTCCCTTAGTACAAGTTTATCCACTGGGATCTAGTCAGCCTACCTAGAGTCCCTCCCTTTGAGACAGTCAGCTCTTCCTCACCACACAGTAATCAATTGCCAGTAATTCTTGGACTAAGACTGGGTCCTGTTGCTCATTTCCACAGCTCTATGCTGGGTTTTTGTCTGCTTAAGTTTGCATGTGTCTTGTGTATGATGACACCATTGCCGTAAGTTCGTATGAGAAGAGTCTCAGGACACTGTAGGACTATTTCGGTATGGTCATGCCCCTCCTTCCCTGGCTCTTACAATCTTTCCATCCCCTCGTCCCCAAAGGTCCCTGAGCCCTGGGTGGGTGGATTTTGATATAGGAGTCCAGTCCAAAGACCCACACTCTGTAGACTCTTATTCTTTACGTTTTGGCCATTTGTGATCTTTTGTGTTCCTGGCCCTCTGTTGCATGAGGGAGCTTCATTGATGAGAGTTGAAAGATGCATTAGTGTTCCCTTCATTGCTTGTTCTATGTTCCACTGAGATGTGGGCAATTCACAGACAATCTCTCTGTGTGACCAGTTATAGAACTCTGTAATTATCTCTGTTGAAAAAGAAGCTTCTTTGATGGGTGGTGACTGGGATACTTGTCTATAAATTTAAGGATCCATGTTTTGCACATATTAAGAAATTACATTTTCTAGGGATGTGACAGCCTTGGAGTTTTCTCTAAGATCTATGACCTCTCCAGCTATGTGTATGTGGCTGTTTACCACACATGAATTTCCTCTCTTTGAGTGGGCTTTAAGTCCAATTAGGTAGCTGTTGATTACCCCCTAGAAAAAGTGCCACTACTGTACCAATGCTGTTTGCTGTGTCAGTCATTGATGTGGTTGTTAGGCCTTGAAGCTGGGGTTGGACCATCGATTGATGTTCTCCCTTAGCAGCTTGCACAGTGTCTCCAAAGCTGTGTGGGCTACCCTTGAGGGGAGGTGGCTTCCAGGTCAGTCCCAGCTTCATTGCTCCAAAACCTGTGTCCAAAGTATGTCCTTTCTCTTCAGCAATAGGGTTTTACCTTCAAGTTCTGGGAGGCAATCAAGGGCTGTGGCAATAGCCTATGTAATTTTGGGAGTCTCCTGGACTACCCTGGCCAACAACTCAAAGGAAGGTTTCTCCTGTCTGGCACTGTTTCTTGTTATGTAGTCTTCAGCTGTACTCATGGACTCATGTGGAGATATTGTATGTGTAATTTTTCAGTAAGTTTTTGGACTAATACTATTCCCTCTGGTTTTTTATACTAGCTAGGCACTATTCATCTCACCTCTTTGTCTCCCTGGCCTATCCTCCCTCCCCACCCTCCCCATTTAAAGTGTCCCCATTTTCCTCATTTCCCCCTTGATAATTCCTATGTGCTATGGTCCCACCTCTTTTGAGCTCCTTCTTCCCCTTTATTCCCGTAGTTCTTTGTATATAGCCCTTCTTCTCCCCCTCCCATTTACCCCCTTTTTACACATTTCTCCCTTAGTAACACCTGTCTCCTACTATTATTCTCTCTCTCTCAGGTTCCTTCTTTCCCTTTACCTACCTGATGCTTCTCCATTTTCCTGGTTCCTGCAGTTACATCAGGATATGTACTCACTTAAAAGAATGTGGTGCTAGGATCAACAAATGAGGAACATAAGTCTTTTGGTTTTCTGAGTCTTTGTTACTTCATTTAGTATTAGCAGTTTATAGATCCATCCATTTACCTGCAGATTTCATTATTTCATCTTTCTTTACTGCTGAATAGAACTCCATTGTGTAATTTTCATTAACCACTCATCTGTTGAGGGGCACTTAGGTTGCTTCTATTTCTTAGCTGTTGTGAAAAGAGCAGCAACAAATATGGATGTACAAGTGTCTCTGCAATAGGATGTGCCCTTTGGGTATATACCAAGGAGTGGTATAACTGGGTCATATGGTAGGTTCATTTGTAGTTTAAAAGTTCTCCACACTGCTTTCCATGGGGGTTGCATGAGTTCGCAATCCCACCAGCAGTGAGTGAGTGTTCCCTTTTCTCCACATCCTCGCCAGCATTTGGTATCATTTGTTCTCTTGGCCTTAGCCAACCTGACTGGGGTAAAAATGAAATCTTAGGGTGGTTTTAGTTTACATTTCCCTAATTACTAACAATGTTGAACACTTTTTTACGATGTTTCTTAACCATCTTTGTTTCTTCTTTTGAAATCTTTAGCCCATCGTTTAATTGGGTCATTTTTTCTCTTGATTATTCTTTGAGTTTTTGATATATTTTGGGTGTTAACCCTCTGTCAAATGTGTCATTGGGCTTTCTCTTCACCAGACTGGTTGTTTCTTTTGCTGTACAAAAGCTTTTTAGTTTAATGAGATCTCACTTGTTGATTGTTGACCTTAATTCCTGAGCAACTAGTCTCCGATTTAGAAAGTTCTTTCCTACACCTATATCTTGTAGATTATGCCAATGTTTTCTTGTAACAGTTTCAGGATTTCCAGTTTCACATTGAGGCTTTTGATCCATTTGGAGTGTCTTTTGTGCAAGGTGAAAGATAAGGAACTAGCTTCATTCTTCTGCAGGTGGAGATCCAGTTTTCCCAGCACCATTTGTTGAAGATGCTGTCTTTCCTCCACTGTATGTTCTTGGCACCTTTATTAAATATCAGGTGACTGAAATTGTGTGTACTCAAGTTTGGGTCTTCAATTATGTTCCATTGGTCTATATGTCTATTTTTGTGCCAGTACCATGTTTTTGTTTTTTGTGACTATAGCCCCGTACTATAGTTTGAAATCTGGCATAGTAATCCCCGTAGTGTTGTTCTGTGTGCTCTGGGTTGTTTTGGCTATCTGAAGTCTTTCATGTATCCATATGAATCTTTTTTTTTTTTTTTTTTTTTTTGGTCTTTTTGAGACAGGGTCTCCCTGTAGCCCAGCTGGCCTGGCTCTTGCTGTGTAGACCAGCCTGGCCTTGAACTCATAGAGATCCACCAGCCTCTGCCTCCCAAGTACTGGGATTAAAGGTATGCACCACCAAGCCCATCAGTGCTTCCATATGAATTTAAGGTTGGTTTCTTCTGCTTCTGTCAAGTATATCATGGGGATTTTGATTGGCATTGCATTGAATCTCTAAATGGCTTTTGGTAGGATGGTCATTTTTACAATATTAATTCTTCCAGTTCATGAGTATGAGAGATCCTTCCATCTTCTGGTGTCTTTTTTTTTAGAGATTACACTTTTCACTGTAGAGATCTTTGATGTCTTTGGTCAGGTTTATTCCAAGATATTTTATTTTTTTGAGGCTATTGTGAATGAGAGGGTTTCCCTGTACTCTTTCTCCAATTGCTTGTTATTGGTATATAGAAAGGCTACTGATTTTTGTAGATTAATTTTGTAACCTGCCACTTTTACTCAAAGTATTAATCAGTCCCAGTTTTCTGATGGAATTTTTGGGAACCTCTTTGGTATAGTATCATATCATCTGCAAAAAGGGATAATTTGACCTCTTCTTTTCCAGTTAGCACTCCTTTAATTTGCTTCTCTTGTCTTAATGCTCTAGTAAGAGTTTCAAGCACTATATTGAAAAAGAATGGGCATAGTGGACATCCTTGTCTGTTTTCCTGATTTTAATGGGAAGGCATCCAGTTTTTTTTTTCCATTTAGAATGATGTTGGCTATGGGTTTGTTATACAAACAAAAACCGTTTTAATTATGTTGAGGTATGTTCCCTCCAGTCCAGTTCCCTTTAGGACTTTCATCATGAATACATGCTGAATTTAGTCAAAAGCCTTTTCTGCATCTATTGAGATGACAATGTGGTTTTTGTCTTTGAGTTCATTTATATGATTTATGACATTTATTGCCTTGTATATATTGAATCATCCCTGCATCTCTGAAAGAAAGCCTATTTGATCATGGTGAATGATCTTTTTGATGTATGTCTATATGTGGTTTGCAAGTATTTTGTTGAGAATTTATCCATCTATGTTCATTAAGGATATGGGTCTATAGTTTTCTTTTTTGGTTGTGTCTTTACCTGGTTTTGGTATTTGAGTGACACTGGCTTCATTGAAGGAATCTAAGCGTTCTCCCTTTGTTTCTCTCTTTTTGAGTAATTTAAGTAGTATTGGTTAGAAATCTTTAAATGTCTGGTAGAATTCTGCTGGAAATCCGTCTGGGCCTGGACTTTTTTCAGTCAAAAGGTTTTGTATTACTGTTTCAATTTCCTTATATGTTATGGGTCTGTTTAAACTGTTGATCTCTTCTTGGTTTAACTTTGGTGGTTCCCACGATTTTATATATCCATCCATTTCTTTCAGGTTTTCAAATCTAATATTCGAAAAAAAACAGGTTTTTAAAGTATTCCTTATAATGTTCTAGGTCTTCTGTGTCTCTTGTGATGTTTCCCCTTTCATCTCTGATTTTGTTGATTTAGATTTGCTTTCTTTCTTTCTTTTGGTTAACTGGGCTAAGGGTCTGTCAATCTTGTTTAGCTTTTCAAAGAACCAGCTCTTTGATTCAGTGTATCATTTTCTTTGCTTCTATTTCATTAATTTCTACTCTGATTTTTGTTACTTCTCATCTGCTGGGTTTGAGTTTCATTTGTTCTTGCCTTCCCAGAGTCTTGAGTTGCAATGTTAAGTCATTTATTTTTGCTCTTTCTGATTTTTTAATGTAGGCACTTAGAACTATAAACTTCCCTCTTAGGACTGCTTTTAAAGTGTCCCAGAGGTTGTGTTGTGTTGTGTTGTGTTGTGTTGTCCTTTCGTTGAATTCCAGCAATACTTTTATTTCTTTCTTAATTTTTCCTTTGACCCAGTCATTCCAGGAGTGTGTTGTTTAATCTCCATGAGTTCATGAAGTTACAAGGGCTTCTTCCAGTGTTGATTTTAAGCTTTATTGCATTGTGGTCTGATAGAATGCATGGAATTATTTCAATTTTTTGTATTTGTTCATTTGTTTTGTGTCTAAGTATGTGGTCAATTTTTGAGAAAATTCCATGGGGTACTGAATAGAAAGTGTATTCTTTGTTGCTTGGGTGTAATATTCAGCAGATGTCTGTTAGGTCCATTTGATGTATGGTATCATTTAATTCAGATGTCTCTCTGTCTATTGTTTGTCCAGTTGACCTGTCTAATGGAGACAGTAGAATATTGAAGTCCCCTGCTAGTCCTGAGTTGGGGTTAATCTGTGTATTAAAGTCCTGTATGTTGTTTTTATGAATTTGGGTGTACCAGAGTTTGGTGCATATATGTTCAGGATTGCAATGTCTTTTGATTAATTTTTCCTTTGATCAGAATGAAGTGACCCTCCTGATCTCTTCTGATTAGTTTTAGTTTGAAATCTATTTTGTCGGATACTAGAATTGCAACCCCTGCTTGTTTCTTAGTGCCATTTGCTTGGAATATTCTTTTTCATCCTTTTACCTTAAGGTAGTGCCTGTCCTTGAAGGTGAGATGTGTTTCTTACAGACAGCAAAGACATGGATTTTTAATTTTTTTTTTTGGTCTTTTTGATTCAGAGTCTCCCTGTAGCCCCAGCTGTCCTGGAAGTCACTATGTAGACCAGGCTGGCCTTGAGCTCACAGGGATCCATCTGCCCAACTCACAGAGATCCACCTGCCTCTGCCTCCCAAGTGCTGGGATTAAAGGCGTGTGCCACCACACCTGGCCCAAGCCCGGGTCTTTTGAGTGGGGAGTTCGGTCCATTGATGCTTAAAGTTATTATTGAAACAGGTGTATTGGTTGCCTTCATTTTGATTCCTGTTTGCGTTCTTTGTGTAATTTTATGTTTCCACAGTTAACCCTTCATTTAGTTTCTTTCATTGCCCCTGGGGTATACTTGTTCCTTGCTCCATTCTTTGTACTACTTCAGGTATTTGAAGGGCATGAATTCTTTCACCTATTCATGTCATGGAAGATTTTTCTTTCCCCTTCAACTATAATAAACATTTTGGCTGGGTATAGTAATCTGGGTTGGCATCTGTGGTCATTTCGAACTGGGAATACTTTGGTCCAGGCTCTTCTGGCTTTCATAGTTTGCTTTGATAAGTCAGCTGTAATTCTATTGGGTTTTCCTTTATATGTGACTTGTTTCTCTTTTGCAGCTTTCGGTATTTTCTCTTTGTTCTGTACATTTAGTGTTTTTACTATGATATGTTGTGGGGAGTGTCTAATTGGTGGGTTTTTTTTATTTGTCTTTTTGAGACGGTCTCCCTGTAGCCCCAGCTGTCCTGGAACTCACTATGTAGACCAGGCTGGCCTTGAACTCACAGAGATCCGCCTGCCTCTGCCTCCTGAGTGCTGGGATTAAAGGCGTGTGCCACCATGCCTGGCCCTAATTGGTGTTCTACGTGCTTCTTGTATTTGTATGGGGAGGTCTTTCCTTAATTTTGGGAAATACAGTCCTGTTTTAAGATCTAGTCAATACCGTTAACCTGAAATTCTTCTCTTTCCTCTATGCTTATGATACGTGGATTTGGTCTTTTCATGGTGTCCCACATCTCCTGCATATTCCATTCCTATGTTTTTTAAAATGTTTTATAATCTTTACTTGAGCAGTCCAGTTCTTCAACTTTATCCTCCAGTGTTGATATTCTGTTTCCATTTCATTCATTCTAGTGGTAATGCTTTCTCCTTTTGTTTCAAATTTGCTTATTGAGTTTTTCACTTCCTTGTTCATTTCAGCCTGAGTTTTCTTCAATGTTTCTCTTTGTGACTTCAGTCAGAAGTTTATCCCTATCTTTTAGTTTTTTGATTGTGTGTTCTTTAAATTTGTTGAATTCCTTGATCATGTTTATGATTCTCCTAAATTCAGTGTCCTGGGTTTTCTCTAGGGGGTTTTCCTTGTAGAAGTCGTCTACAGAACTAGTGGAGTTTGGTGGGAATACTGTTCTCATTTTCCATATTATTTTTACATTGTGACTTTGGCATGTGGATTTCTTTTGTATGAAACTCAAGCTCTCCTTTGTTGAATTGAAGTCTCCTCTGTTTGTATTATTGGTGTGCCTTGGTTGTTTTCTTATTGGGTATGTGATACTGGTTGGTCTAGGTTTCAGTATCTCTCAGATTTTATTTTAGAGGAAACTGAAGGCTTTAGATCAGCTATTAAGGAGCTCCCACAGAGGTGCAAGTCGGGCTCCAGTCACGTACACTCTGGCTTCCTTCTAAAGTCTGGACCTATACTAACAGGCACTACTACAGCAGTTTGGGAAGTTCACTAAGGGGAGGTCCATTTTTAGCCCTCTCAGGTAGTCTGATATGGTCTCAGCCCCTACCGTGGGGCACAGATGTCTAGCGCTGGGTGAAGTGGAAGGGATCTTACATGGTCCTGTTAGGGGTTGGCATGGCACAACTTGGGGAAGCTGACCCAGAGGCTGGGTGCCGGCACTCTCAGGCGGTGCTCTTGCATAACAGCAGTGTAATTCCTAGAATACTCATGTTAATACCCTTAGTGTTCCCTTCCTCCAGCAGGCCTTCCATAATCCAGCAGGCCCAGGATGGGGGCTTTCCTGTGCTGGCATGGCCCTCTGCACTTCTCCCTCCGCACTGAGTAGTTCCAGCATCCCCTGCTGCGGGTGTCTGGCTGCATTCCTTACATTAGAACTCTCATTCCAGGTCATTGGTTTAGCTCTGGTACCTATTGCAGAATGGCTTACTGACAGCATGTGAAGAAATGAATTGCTGAACACTTCTTGTTTTTCCCACTAGGATTGCCTTAGATTATTTTCCAAAGAAGAAAAACTCACAGATAACAACAGATTTTACTGCAGTCATTGCAGAACTCGACGGGATTCTCTAAAAAAGATAGAAATCTGGAAATTGCCACCCGTGCTTTTAGTGCATCTGAAACGGTAAGGGACAGTGTTCCTATCTGATCAGTGGCATTTGATGAAGGAATTGTAATTTCTGTGTAATTTGCACTTTACTGTACTGCCTAAGGAAGCCTAACAAAGGAAGATTATCCAGTGAGAAAGTGAAAAAAAAAATAAAAATAAATAAATTTAAAGAAATAAAAAAAAATAATAATGAAGCTGGGTGTGGTGGTACACTCCTCTAATCCCAGCACTCAGGTGGCAGAGGCAGGCATATCTGTGAATTCAAAGCCAGCCTGATCTACATAGTGAGTTCCAGGCCAGCTGAGGCTGCAAGGAAACCCTGTCTCAATAAAAAGACCAAAAATAATAATAATAATAATAATAATAATAATAATAATAATAATGAACAAACCATCAGTATAAGCTACTCTATTAACAGACTGTTTGGTAACTTTTTTTTTAATTTTTACTTTATGTGTATGCGTGTATTGCCTGCATGTAGGTGTATGCGTGTATTGCCTGCATGTAGGTAAGTGCACCCATATCATGCAATGCCCGCGGAGGTCAGAAGAAGCTGTCGGATCCCCTGGGACTGGAGTTACAGACAGTTGTTAGCTGCCATGTGGGTGTTGGGATTTGAACCCGTGTCTTCTCCAAGAACCACCACTGTTCTTAACCACTGAGCCATCTCTCCAGCCCCCCTGTTTGGTAACTTTAATAAATAGGGAAATGTTGATAAAAAGGCATTGCACGTTTGTAACAAAAATCTTAACAAGCCAGAAATGGGAAGAAATATTCAGAACATGACAAAGTGCACAGGAGATGCCACAGACCTTCAGTGGTAGAGTGCTTAGCACAACACGTATGAGGCCCTGTGTTTGAGCCTCGGCACTAGAAAACAAATTGTAGTAACTGTGGAATGGTCTATGTTTTGGTATAAAAAGGAGCAGAAAATAGATCTACCTGCAGTTTGTGTCTAGTTCTGGTTTCCCTCTAAGTTACAGGCAGCCTACATCTCTGTAAAACAGAAATGAAACAGATGTCTTCAACAGGTCTTCCATTGCCAAAACTTCGTGGGATTTTTTAATGTAATTTGAAATGAACTTTATGGTTATCCCTAAAAGTCCATGTTAAGTAATAAGAATTCATTCTTATGTCTTTCTCTGTCAGTGTGACTCTTACAATGTTTTATTCTGCAGCTTTTCTTATGATGGCAGATGGAAGCAAAAGTTACAAACATCTGTGGACTTCCCGTTAGAAAGTCTTGACCTTTCACAGTATGTTATTGGTCCAAAGAACAATTTGAAGAAATACAACTTGTTTTCTGTTTCAGTAAGTATCTTCTTGAACTGAAGCAAACTAATAAGACAGAAGCTAATAAAGCAGTGCTTCCTTATCCCTTAGAGGAGTGAGGATGGCATAAAACCTTGAGATCACCGACATGTTTGAAATAATGACTCAGTTTTATTGATATCTATCTTGCTTGGCACAGAATCACTATGGCGGGCTGGATGGAGGCCACTACACTGCCTATTGTAAAAACGCAGCGAGACAGCGGTGGTTTAAGTTTGATGATCATGAAGTTTCTGATATCTCCGTGTCTTCTGTGAAGTCTTCAGCAGCTTATATCCTCTTTTATACTTCATTGGGACCACGTGCAGCTGACATAGCCACATAAGGATGTAAGCCTCAGAGAAGTGTTTCTACCTGCTCAGTAGCTCCTCTCTCTGATTATGGAGAGCATGGCTAGAGCTACAGCTGGCTCATAGAGGATCCTCAGGACACTGGGGCCACGTTACTGGCACTGTGTAATCAGATCAGTGCTCTTATGGAAAAAAAACAAATAACTGGCACTTAACAGATACTGCAGCAAGCATCCCTTATAGCTACCATTTATTTCAAAACAACTTTTTTAGTCTGCCCACAGTTAAAATAAGTAATTAGCCAAGCATTTATTATTCCACTGGTGTCCAAACCACTGCACCCTCCATTTTCCTGTTCACTGTGTAGCCTTTTCGCATTCCTAGTGCAGCTTGATCCACTCCGTACACTAGGGTGAGCTACAGCAGACAGGAATGTATGTGTACATATTTACTTGCACACTTGCACATCAAATTGTTGTACATAGTTTAACATGTCCTGTTGTGAAGCCTAGAATCTCAGAGGATTGCTTTTTTTCTTGTTTTCTTTCAGCCTATTCTAGGTAACTGCATTGCTTTCTTAGGGAAATGACAGGGCAAAACTATTTTTCTGTTGGCTTTGGGCTGTATTTGTGCACTAATCTTTATTCTAAAAAAAAAAAAATGGGAACTTAATTTTTTTAAAAAGAATTTCATTTACATCTACATTAAAATCTTAATGAGAAGAATAACTTTAAACCTTACAAGTGTTCTGTCTTTATGTCCTGTATCAACGTAGGACAGTAGAGTGTGGCTTTTACACACATGCTTTATCCTCTACACTGATTCTGAGTTTAGTCTACTCATTCTGTTGAGATGTAGGACTTGGTTCCATTCTTCCTGAGTGTGGTACCAGAACTGCATAGAGCACCTAAGGTTCTCAGAGTGGGAAATCAAAGTTAAAATAATACCCAGATTCCTTCTATCAAAATTCTAAAGAATTGGGGCTGGAGAAATTTCTCAGCTCTCAGGTCAAGAGCACTGACTGCTCTTGCATAGGAGCCAGATAGGGTCCCCTGCACACATATGGAAGCTGGCACATGGCAGCTAGCAACTGTGTAATTCCACTTCCAGGGGTCAGATGCCCTCTTCTGGCCTATGGAGGCATTGCATGCACATGGTACACTTGCATACATGCAGGCAAAACACTAGTACACAAAAAAATACATTAAAAAATTCTGAAGAATTAAGTAAAAAGTGATGAGTCCCATGTGTTCATAAGGTGAACAGCAGCATTGTGAACCATGTCCTTTCAGAGTGATGAATTAAAAGGTTCAAGAAAGTCAACTTTCCTTGGGGACTTGGTTGCTATAGATCAAGTCACTGAAAAAAAGCTGCATAAACAAAGATTGTGAAAGTGCCTTGGGAGGCTCTCATGGTAGTGAGCTTTTGGGGAGATGAGAATGGCTTACAAATTGAAAAGTTGGTCATTTTAATGTCTTGCACTCAATTGAAAGGACTGATTATTATTTATTTTGCTGAATTGCTGTATAAATCTTTTTTTTAAATTTTTATTATTTTTTGTTTTATGTGGATACAATTGCCTGCATGTAGATAAGTGCACCCGTGTCGTGCAATGCCTGCGGAGGACAGAAGAGGCTGTCGGATACCCTGGAACTGGAGTTATGGACAGTTGTTAGCTGCCATGTGGGTACTGGGCTTTGAACCTGGGTTTTCTGCAAGAACCAGCCAGTGTTCTTAACCACTGAGCCATCTCTCAGCCCTGCTGTATAAATCTTTCAAATCACATTCTTTTTTTTTAAATATTTTATTTATTATTTTTATTTTATGTGTATGAGTGTATTGCCTGCATGTATGTGAGTACACCCATGTCGTGCAATGCTGCAGAGGTCAGAAGAGGGCTTCGGATTCCCCTGGAACTGGAGTTAAGGAAGGTTTGTAGTCACCATGTGGGTGCTGGGAATCAAACCCGGGTCCTCTGCAAGAGTAATCATTGCTCTTAACCACTAAGCCATCTCTCCAACCTCTCAAATCACATTCTTAAACTCACAGAGCCATTTGAAACTTTATTTTCCCCCTGTGCAGAGAGGGTCAAACTCAGGACCTCATACATTGTTGGGCTAGATAGATGGCTCAGAGGGTAAAAGTACCTGCTGCCAAGCTTAGCAGCCTGAGTTCAGGCCCCAGGCCCCATGTGGTAGAAGAAAAGAACTGACTCCCACAAGTTGTACTCTGACCTATGCACACACTGTAGCTCACACCTTACAGATACACATAGGAAATAAAGAACTTGGAAGGCAAAGGCAGGCGGATCTCTGTTAGTTTGAGGCCAGTCAGCCTGACATAGCAAGTTCCAGACCAACCAGAGCTACATTGTGGCCTTTGAAATGGCCTCTGAGGGTCCCTATCCATTAGTGCAGTAATTTCGTGCTTCCTTTTTTTTTTTTTGCTGTAGACATCAAAGGTTGGATATAAGACTTAATAGTCTGCCTTGTAAATCAATTACAAGGATTTAATGACAAAGCAGATTTCACTGTCAGTTTCTGGCTGCTTGCTGTGCAGTGCTCAGGACACATGGCCTAGCTCTTGCAGTTTTGTGTAGGTGTGGAGCGGGCTGGCAGCTGTAGAATAGCAGGTAGGCTGTAGCAGTTTGAACTGGTGTCTGGGATCTCACTGACCCAGGTGTCATTGAAGCTGTATGGCCTGGGTGACAGTTCTTTCAGAAAGCAGTGTAGTGGCCATCATTCAGATCACCAAAGTGGTTCTGGGGAGAGAAAGTACGTCAGACTTGTCACAAGTGATGCTCTCACTGCTGAATAAAAGTGACGAGACAAGAAACGTTAAATTGTCCCTTAGAATCAAAGGCAATAATTCTGTAAATGTTACTCCAGTGGCTGTACTGCTGTTTCATGTCATTGAACTGCTTACTCACTGACGACATCTGTGAAGAAAGGACAAAGTACATGAGCTTGACACTCACGTGTTACAGCTAACACTGAGAACTTAGCGGTTCAACTTCTTTTTTTCTTTTGTGGTAGAATCTTAACATATAGCCCTGGCTAGCCATATAGACCAGGTTAGCCACAAACAGAGATCTACCTACCTCTGTCTCCCAATGCTAAGATTAAAAGTATATACAATCACTTCCAACCTCAACTACTAAAGCATTATAGGAGGGGCTGGAGAGATGACTCAATGGTTAAGAGTACCTGCTGCTCTTCCAAAGGACCCAGCTTCTACTAGCACCCACATGGTGGCTAATAACCTGTAGCTCCCGTTCCAAGGACTCTGATACCCTCTTCCGACCTCACAGGCATTGCATGTCAAGAGTGCACTTAAATACAAGCAGACAAAACACTCATACACATATAAAGATAAGTCAGAAGCATTACAGGGAATTTTCAGTGAGATGAACTTTCCAGATGAACCTACAGTATAATATACTAAGCATAAGCTAAGGCATGAGGAACCCATTGAACAAAACATCTAAACAGCTGTATATTTCTGTGTGTATCAGAAGCTGCCCCAGGTCACCCAGGGGCCAAAAAGAGTTTGTCCAGTTCTCTTCCCTTTCTTAAGCTGGTAAAGGATTATCTGAAACGAACAAGAGAACAACCTTACACTGAGGAACACTGCAGAACAGTGGTTGGCAGTAGCTACACCACATCCAGCTGGTGGATGTGATTGCATCATCATGAATTAAGAACAGATTCTATATTTTATGAGGTTGAAAAGAATTCAAAGAAAAACATTTGTCACATGTAAAAATTACATGAAATCCGATTTCAATGTTGTTAAAGCTTTTAGAGCGCGGCCCTGACCTTTTGCTTACATTTGAGAGTTGCTCCTTGTGCAGCAGTACAACAAGGCCTGGTGCCGAAGCCGTTGGCTTTCAAGGCCTAAAATAGCTCCTGTCTGGCTTTTTGCAGTTTACTGACCCCTCATATAAAGGGAAGAAAACAATACCAAATTATAATCTTAGAGGTCATGTCTTACTAAGCTTGAATTCTGCATCTGTTAACATCAGTGTTAAACTTTAACCAAGCATGGTGGCTCACACCTGTAATCCTAGGCCTTGGGAGACTGAGGCAGGAGGATTGCACAGTTGAGAGCATCTCAAAGCTGACATTTAAAACACCCAGAATCAGGTCTTGGTCTTTGCCGTGTGACCTTGAGCTGACATGCTTAAAGCTTTTTTTTTTTTTTCCTAGTCTGATGTGTGGTACAATCTCATTGAGAAAAACAAAACATCTGGTGCATGTGCAGTGCACACGTGATGCTGTGGACTGATCAGGCCCACAGCTGGAGTGTTAACCAGATTTCGTGATGCATTTTTTTTGTTGTTTGTTTTTATGGGCATAATGAGGGAAGTATTTTTCTAGACTTCCTATTCCAGCAGGCACAGAAGACAGTATCATGGGCTGGGCATAGTGGTGACTCTCTTGAGTTCAAGGCCAGCCTGGTCTACATAGGGAGTTCCAGACCAGTTGGGGCTACAGGGAGACCCTGTCTCAAAAAAAAAAAGTCTCAAAGCATCACCACCATAAAACTGAAGTAATGCTCGATCCACCTGCCCCCTGAATGCTGGGTTTAAAGGCATGTGACACCACACCCAGCTCAACCTTTTGACATTCTGACATGACACCGTCTATAAAGTTTATACAAGAACTGTGTAATTGAGTTACAAAAAAAATGGGGTGGGGACAATATTTTAGATAAGATCACCACTTTGTGTTGGGCCACATTTATAGCTGTTGTGGGCTGTGTGGTCCACAGGTTGCAGATGAAATAAAACCCAGTGAAGCTGAGCTCACAACTGAGGAACAGTTTGCCACAAGTACTACCCAGATCCCCCCAAAGTTTAAGATTATTAAAGACATAGAAGAAAACTACCCTTAAAAAAAAAAAAAAAAAAAAACCTTTAGCTGGGCATAGCAATGCACACCTTTGATCCTCACATTGTGAGATCAAAAACAGCCTGGTCTACATAGTGAATTCCAGACCAGCGGGGGCTACAGGGAGACCCTGTCTCAAAAAGTCCAAAATAAAATTTAAATAAAAGACTAAGCAGAGTGCGTGTGGTAGAACATGCCTGTACTCCAAGTACTGTGGAGGTCAAGGCAGGAGGAGTGCCACAAGCTTGCAGCTCGCTGGGGTGACGTGCAGAATGTTATCGAGTACAGAAGGGGAGGGAGAAGAGAGGTCTGGACAGACGGCTAGAAATGTGTGTCTAGGTAAGTTATCTAGGAATGAAAGTGAACTGAAGACTTGTAGTCGAAGACTGAGAAACAAGGATGGATAAAAGACCTTCACTAATGTGTGCCTCATGAATAAACGAAATTGAATGAAGAAATTGTATGTAAATGATTCGTGGCAGATAAGCTTAGTAAGGTGTACCATACAAGCCTAGGGACCTGAGTTCAAGTCCAACACCCACATAAAAAGCTAGGTGTGGTCCCAGTTCTGGGGAGGTAGAGACAGGATGATCCCTGAGGCCAGCTGGCTAACGATCCTGGCCTAATCAGCAAGCCCCAGTGATAGACCCTTTCCTAAATTAGGTGAACACCTCTTGAGGAACAACACATGAGGACCTCTAGCCTGCCCATGCACACATATATACAGGAATGATTAGCAAAACAGATTGGTAAGGATCTTCACAAAGGTAAGCCAACAAGAACTGTATAAAACCATGATGGGAGGCAAGATGGGTCAGTGGGTAAAGGCACTTGCTGCCTGATCAACCTGTGAGTGATTCCCCCCCTGCCCAAATCCACCTGGTGAAAGGAGAGAACTGACTCCAGGTTGTCCTCTGATCTCCCGTGTGTGTGTCTGTGTGTGTGTGTGTGTGTGTGTGTGTGTGTGTGTGTGTGTGTGTGTGTGTGTGTGTACGTGCGCACACACATAAATATTAAAAAATTTAAAACCATGATAACACTGGACATAGTGACATTCCTGTAATCCCAATAGGAGAGGCTGGGGCAGAAGAGATCACGACTTAGAGGCCAGCCTGGGCTATAACCAAGAACCTGCCAAAAAAAATAACTAGGGACAGAGTACATGAAAGGATACTCAACATTGGTCATTAGGGAAATGCTACTCGAAACCACAAGGTAGCCGGGTGTGGTGTCACATGCCTGTAATCCCAGTACTTGGGATGTGGTTTTGAGCTAAAAAGGGACTAAATAAATTAAAAAGTACCATTTCATACTCAACTTGCCTGGTTTATTTTTATGTGGATGAGTGTTTTACCTGCATGTAAGTGTGCCACATGTATGCAATGCCCAGGGAGGTCAGAAGAGGCATCAGATCCCCTGGAATTGGAGTTAGACAATTATTAGCTGCCCTGTAAATGCTGGGAACCAAATCTAGATCCTCTGCAAGAGCAGCCAGTTCTGTTAACTGCTGAACCATCCCTCTAGCCCTTAGTTAAGATGGATAATAAGTTTGGAGAATGGGTGAGCTGGAGCTCATTGATGGTGGAAACAAAATTGTGTAGTCACTTTGGAAATCAGTTTGCCACTTCCTCAAAAGGTTAGTTGTAGTTACCATATGTACAGCAATTCCCTCTTAGGTATGTACCCAAGAGAGATAGAGACATATCCACACGAAAGCCTATATGCAGTTAGGATAATGGCCAAACACCTATCAGCAGATGAATGGATGGATGAAATGTGGTTTATCTACACAGCAGAATGCTATTTGATAATGAAAAGAAACAGTACATTCCACAGCATAGATAAGCCATAAAAGCATTATGAATAAAAGCAAAAGCTATATGTTTTGTGATCCCATTGTATGAGTTGCCTAGAACAGGCAAACCCAGAGACACAGGAAGTGCGTTAGTGGTTGCCAGGGGCTGCTGGGGAGAAGGAATGGATAAGGAAGGTTCTTTTAGGAATGATGAAAATGTTCTACAACGTGATTGTAATGATGACGCACAACTGTAAATACAACCACAAACCACTGAACTGTACACACTGAAGGTGAAGTTTCTAGTGGGTCATGTAACAATACTATTTCAAGCTGAAAGCCAAAAGGACAGTGTGCAAATAGCCAAAGATTGCGCAGCTATTTGTAGAATGTGTGTATATATGCTATATATTATATATATGTGTGTGTGTATATATATATATATACATATATATATATATATGGCATGTCCACAGATCCACATGAACAGGCTTCGTCCCCAATGTAGGAACACTGGGAGATGGTAGAACTTGTAGACATGGGGACCTTTGAGGGGTCATGGGGTTGAGTCCCCTGTCTCAAGACGCGAGTCCTTGCCTGATGTGCTCCCGCTAGTGAGGGTTCGTGTGCTCCCCTCACCCTCAGGCCTAACTAATGGGGCCATACCATCTGGAACAAACCATAAGTCAAAATAAATCTCTCTGTACTTCATACGTTGTCTGTGCAGGGTGTTATGGTGATTTAAAGCTATGTATAATAGCACTCAAGAGGCAGAGGCAGATGGAGCTCTCTGAGTTCAAGGCCAGCCTGGTCTACAGAGTGAATTCCAGGCCAGCTAGGACTCCAAGGAAACCATGACTCAAAAAGGCAAAAAAAAAAAAAAAAAAAAAAAAAAAAAAAAAAAACTACATGTAATAAGGAAACAGTGTCTAGAACATAGAACTCCTGCAAGTCAGTAAGAAACAACACTGTTTTACTGTAACCATATATGCCCAACAGTGTTGACACAAGGTTGTTAAGTACAGCCAGCATGTGGAAGCAGTCAACCATCAAGAGAGTGGATGAATTATGTTGCATTCTTCTAAACTACATGCCAGTGAAATTAGAGGAACAGAGTATGGGGATTGAATAAACAAAGCAATTTGCAGAAGTCTAAAAATAGTGGCATTTCATAAAGCTCAAAAGGAAGGTGACCATTGTATTGCCTAGCAGCATGTACAGAAGATGTCTACCCCACAGTCAAGAACAATCAGCATTAAATGCAAGGTTATAACCTCAAAGCTTTAAAGGGAGAGACACACAAAGGCAGCCATACTCATGATGCTGAAGTTCCCAAGCTGTGTGGGTGTTGTGAGCTGATGCTTTGTAAAGTTCCCAAGCTGTGTGTGGATGTTGTGAGCTGATGCTTTGTAACACCTGCCATGCTCTGAATGTTCTGCTCCCCTGACCTCAAACCATAGACTGAAACCCAGTGACCACCATGGTGATGTGGTGTGTTAGGAAGTGGGGCCCTTAGGAGGTGACTAAGACTAGTCTCCTCTAAAAAGTTTTTATTTCAGAGCCGGCTGTGGTGGCGCATGCCTTTAAACCCAGCATTTGGGAGGCAGAGGTAGGTGGATCTCTGAGTTCAAGGCCAGCCTGATCTACATAGTGAGTTCCAGGCCAGCTGGGGCTAGAGAGATCCTGTCTCAAAAACACCAAAAAAAAGTTTTTATTTTATGTGTATGAGTGTTTTGCCTGTATGTATTTAAATGCACCCATATCATGTAATGTTTATGGAGGTCAGAAGGGAGCGTCATATCCATTGGAACTGGAATTAACAGTTACTAGCCAGCATTTGAGTGCTGGGAACCGAACCTGGGTCCTTGGCAAGAGCAGACAACACTCTTAACTGCTGAGCCATCTCTCTAGCCCTTTAAAATACTTTTGAACACGCAGAACTAGGCCACAAACCAGAAATCAACAAATAATAAAGAATGGAAATATGTTAACCATAGTTTCTTAAAAAAAAATGTGATTAAGTTAGTGAGAAATAATCATGGAAAAAAATATTATTGGAATATTTTTAATTATATTTCTTTGTATGTGTGTGGCTGTGGGGAAGTCACACATGGAGCAGTCAGAGGACAACTTGCAGGAATTGGTCCTCTCATTCCACCAGTTGAGTCCCAGGTGGCAAATTCAAGTCACCTGATTTGGTGGGAGGCACCACCTGCTGAGTTATCTAACTGGTCCTTCGTTTGGTTTTGGTTTTGGTTTTGGTCTTTTTAAGACAGGGTCTCCTTGTAACTAACCCCAGCGGGTCTGGAACTCTGTAGACCAGGCTGGCCTCAAACTCACAGAGCTCCACCTGCCACTGCCTCCCAAGTGCTGGGATTAAAAGTGTACCATCAGCACCACCATGCCCAGTTTTGTTTGTAATTTTTAAATTCATTGTAACAAGTACATCAAGAAAATAAAAAAAATAAAAAAAAAGAGGAAAGGAAATAAAGGAAAGAAATTATATAGACACTGAGGATTGAGCCTGGGGCAACACAGATGCTAGACAAGCACTCTACCACTGAGCTACATCCCCAGCCCTATAATGCAATAAAAAAATACAGGAGCCGGGTGTGGTGTGCATGCCTTTAATCCCAGCACTCAGAAGGCAGAGGCAGGTGGATCTCTGTGAGTTCAAGGCCAGCCTGGTCTACTTCGTGAGTTCCAGGACAGCTGGGGCTGCAGTAAGACCCTGTCTCAAAAAAGACCAAAAAAAAGAAAAAAAAGAAAAAAAAAAGAAATACAAAGAACATAATAGGAACACAGGCAAAAGACTTGTTTAGATATTTCACAAAAGAAAATATTCATGGGGGGCACTCCTGAGATCCCAGCACTCGAGGCAGAGGCAGAGGCAGGAGGCCACTTATTCTGAAAGAGAGAACTCAAATTTAAGTGCTATTTAGTGCCATGCCACCATTTAAATAACTATAATTGCCCAAACAAAAAATGACCAAGTATTTATAAGGATTTAAGGCAACCAAAGCTTCCCATCACTGCCGATGTGAACTGGAACAATCACTTTGGAAGACCCCTGGTCTGAATTTACTAAAACTGGATGTATGCATGCCCTCAGATCAGTAGCACTCCTAGAAATAGACCCCAAAGATATGAGTACATCTGTGTACCGAAAACTTGAGTGATCACAGCAACACTCACCATATGGTCAAAAGCTAACTACCCTGATGCCCTGAACAGTGAAGCAGATTAGTAAATCATAGTGTGTTCACACAGTGGAAAGAACGAACTACGCTGTGTGCAACAGTGCGGATAAATATTTCAGAACTTTGAGTAAAAGGACCAGACACAAGTACATACTGTATGTGTAGGTGCACGTGTGTGCACATTCATCACCAGGCCTGCTGAAGCAAGCACATGTATCCACTGAGTCATCTTCCACAACCTCTTGTCACTTAAAAAAACAAAAACAAAACCATGGTTCTGGCACAAAAACAAACACATCAGAGAGCCCAGAGATCAACCTGTATATTTGCAGTGAAATGATCTTCAATAGTCAGTGCTGCAATTCTTGTTTTAGTCTGTGTGTTGCTACAACAAAAACTAGAGTTGAATAACCTGTGAAGGGTTTATTCAGTTCCGGCTCTGGTGTGTGCAGGGTCTGAACAGTTTGGGGCTGGCTTTTAGGTCCCTGACTGTCACAGTTGTGCAGAAAGCCTTCTCTCCTGTGATATAATCTAGTCACGTGAAACATCAGTCCTTTCTGAGGGTGGCGTCCCCAGTATCACCCACTAGGCCACACCTCTTCAAGTTCCCAACACCTCAGTATTGTTAACTGAGGACCAAGTCCGACCACTTGATCCTTTGAGGGCCAAACTCTAACAAATAATGGGGAAAGGATAGTTTCCTCAATAAATGGTGCTGAGAAACAGGATGTCCACATGCAGACGAATTCAATTGGATTTTTATCTCACACCATTTATAAAAGTCAATTCAATAATCTCAGCACTCAGGAGTCAGGCAGGTGGATCTTTGTGTGATCCAGGCCAGCCTGGGCTCTATAATAAGTTCCAGGCCAGCTGGGGCAACAAGGAGACCTTGTATCAAATAACAAAAGTCCTTCAAAGCTGCTCTTTTAGAGGACCCAGGTTCAGTTCCCAGCACCATAGGTGGCTAACAACAGTCCTTGACTACAGTTCCAGGGAAATCTGATGCCCTCTTCTGGCTTCTGTGAACATTGCAGGCACAGGTGAACTTACACACATGCAGGCAAAACACTCATACACATAAAATTGAAATGGTAAATAAAATAATTGGAGGTTGGAGAGGTGGCTCAGTGGTTAAGAGCACTGACTGCTCTTGCAAAGGACCCAAGTTCAATTCCCAGCACCCACATGGCAGCTAAAAACCATCTGTAACTCCAGTTTTATGGGACTCTAATGCCCTCTTCTGACCTTGGTTGGCATTATGACACGGGTGTACATGCAGGCAATACACTCATACACATAAAATAAAAAAATCATAAAACATTTTTAAAGAATTGTAAACCCTAATCAATTATATATCCCCAGCTGCCCTGGAACTCACTATGTAGACCAGGCTGTCTTTGAACTCACAGAGATCCGGCTGCCTCTTCCTCTCAAGTGCTGGGATTAAAGGCGTGCACAACACACCTGGCTAATAATGACTTAAATGTAAAAAAGAATTTTTAGAAACTTGGGGTGATTTTTGCATAAATGTGCCTTTTCATAATTCAATTACATTTTAAATATAAGTTCAGTTTTTCTGTTGCTTGAATTTTCGTAAAGCGGAAACACCTATAATAAGAAGTTAAAATACTAGGACCTCTGAAATTCACGGTAGAGCCTACTTGTGATGTGAGAGAGAGGAAGAAGCCACTGCCTATTCCCAAAACAGCGTGGGAAGAACAGCTGTGTGCGGAGGAAGGGCGTACCAGTACAAAACGGAGCATTAGGCTTGAAGGGAAAAGAGGCAATCATTAAAAATTGGAGGATGGTTCTGAGCAATGTCAATGTGGAAGATCAGAGGTGTTCCTACTTTTTAATACATTACTCAGCAATGGCTCAACAGAACCCAAGCAGCTCAAAACAGCCCCCAAACCAACAGGAGGCAAAGCCCAAGGTGCACTGATCCAGAGAAACTGACCTGAGTTCAAAACAAAGAGTAGATAGCCATTTGGGCTATTATGCCATCAGAAGGAAATTCTGAGCAGATCTGGAGTTCTGCTGAATATGTGAGCACCTGCTTCATCTCAGGGAAGACTGAAATGTTTTCAGAGCTTTTCTGTAATCTCTGCATGTGGAGGGGTGTAAGGCAGGAAGGTTATGAGTCATAGGTCAGCCTGGGCTACATATTAACACCCTGTCTCAAAACAACAGATCCAATGTGAACAGTGTCCTCAGGACCCTAGCACCCAGCGCAGCCGTCCTGGCAGAGCAGGCAGTGCACGCTAAACACACCAAAGGACGAGGCACATTTGCTGCTAAAGCTGCAGGTCTCCCAGGTCAAGACCGTTAGTTCCCACCTTTTTTAGGGCTTCCTGAAGCTCACTGAGGCCATAAATCAAGAATTCCTGAGCCTTTTGTTGTGTCCTTTTCATAAAAACTGGGTAAAGGTTGCCAAGAGCTGACCGAAATATTTCTGGTGAGACACAGTGTGATCCCCAAGCCACATGGCTGTCATCAGGTAGGCGAAGGCGGTGGCCACCTCGTGCAGTCCCTGGGAAGCAGGGAGGAGCGAACATTAATGACCAACTTAATGAAAAGAAGGGCCTGGGTCACCAGAGCCCAGGATCAGGTCACACCCTTTGCTCATTTCCTGGCTGCCCATTGGGATGTTCCCACCCAAAATGTATACCACCCTCCACAAAGACTCTGGCAGAGTTCTTCCATCACCAGATCTGGGGTGGGGGCTGAGCTCAGGGAAGAACACCTCTTACTTGTGGAGAGTACTCCACGAGGGGGGCGGGGAGATGCTGCAGGGGCACTGAAAGGTGGCGTTTATGTAACAAGTGTTGCCCAAGTTCCGCAGGCCACGCCCTGGAAATGTGGCTGGGAAGGCATCATAGCCTGTGCACTCCGCACTGTGTTGGTGCCATATGGAAGGAAAGTGTTTCCAAGCAACAAAGTGCTAGTGACTCACAAAGAAATTTCTTTTATGGAGTTGCTTACTGTACAACCCAGGCCGGATGGGAACTCAAAAACCTCTTGCTTCAGGATTCCAAAAGCTGAGACTACGGGTGTGCTGCCACCAGCCTGGCAAAAAGGATTTGTTTGTATGTTTGTTTATTTTGAGACAGGATCTCAATATGGAGCCCTGACTGCCCTGGAACTTGATATGTAGGTCAGGCTGGCCCTGAACTCACAAAGATCTTCCTGCCTCTGCCTCTCAAGTGCTGGGATTAAAAGCATGTGCCACCATACCAGGCTAGGAAGGTTCTTATTTTCCTTCAAACACATCCCCTACCAAGGACAGAAGGATTAGAACTTCATTTAGCCCAGAAGTCTGAACAAGTCTGATGTAAATAAAAGTTTCTTCCTGGGGCTGGAGAGATGGCTCACTAGTTAAGAGCACTGACTGCTCTTGCAGAGGACCCGGGTTTGATTCCCAGCACCCACATGGAGGCTATGAACCGTCCTTCACTCCAGTTCCAGGGGAATCCGAAGGCCTCTTCTGACTTCTGCGGCATTACACAACATGGGTGCACTCACATACATGCAGGCAATACACTCATACACATAAAAATAAATAAAATATTTTAAAAAGTTCCTTCCTGAAACTAAAGCAAAGGAACAGAACAGACTGGACTTTCACATCCTAGAATTGCTTGGCTAAAACTGCAAATGTTCTTGCTAAAGTCAAGTCTTCCCCATTTTCAGGGCAATTATTAATAATAGTGATACTATTAAGAGGTCATAGTAACAACCATAGCTATCCTGTGTTTAGTCTGGTACTATGTTAAGCACTTAACATACACTTTCCCATTACATTACATTTTTACAACACCTGCATGGAGTAGAAACAGTGCTTTTAAAATCCCATTTACAGGGGGCTGGAGAGATGGCTCAGAGGTTAAGAACAATGGCTGAGACCCAGCACCCATATGGCGGCTATGAACCATCCTTAACTCCAGTTCCAGGGGAATCTGAAGCCTCTTCTGACCTCTGTGGCATTACATGACATGGGTGCACTTACCTACATGCAGGCAATACATGCATAGACATAAAAAAATAAAAATAATAAATAAAATATTTATTTAATAATCCATTTACAGATGAGGAACCAGGCTTAAGGGCTTTGTCATTTGCCCACAGTAACTGTACAAAATGGGAAGGTGCAGTAAGAGCTAGCTACATTCCTATCACATGTCCATTATTAGGAATTATGTCATATATGGAGAATTGTTGTTGCGGGCGTCGGGTTGGTTTCGCGCTGCTGCTGGGCAGGTCTCTCTGGCTCTCCGCGGCTGGGAGTGCTGGCAGCTCTGTAGATCGGCTGGCCCGCGCCGGGCGCTGGCGAGTGCAGGCTCCGCGGGGGGCTGCAAGCTGCCGGGTGGGTTCTGCGCCAAGCTGCAGGGGGCTCTGCGCCAGCTGTGGGATGCTCCCTCTGTGCACGCGGTCCATTGGCCACCGGTCCGTGGGGGGCAGGGGAGCAAAGCAGGGAGTGCAGGAACATCGAACGCAGAAGCTTCGTGAGTGGGTGTTGACGGGGGACAGCTCCTCCGGGGAGACTGAATCACAGGCTGGTCCCAGGCGCAGTGAGACACAAATCAGCTCAGTCAGATGATCTCAGTGATACAGCTCCGTTTTATTAGGGTAAAACTAGAAGATTTATAGTATGGAGGCAGTAGCAAAAGACCTCAGCTGATAGGTGCTCATAGAATGCCCCATTTACATGTGGCGGTGGGCTTCTATCAGGCTGTCAGACAATGCCTGATTATCATATAGGAAAAACCTGGAAGTTTCTATGCCAGAGGTCATGTTTCTGGTAGGGCATCTGTGGCAGCCACTTCAAAGTGAGTCAGGAGGAGAGCAGGAGGCGCCCTGCTGGAAAGAGGAGTCTCTGCATCAAACGCCGAACCCCTTAGGCTATACGGACATGGAGAGACTGTGACCCAAAACAGCAGGGTCCCCAACATCTCCCCCTGTTTGATTTAAAAATGGAGAAGTGCCATCACAAGCCCTAAGGGCCAACTCATCTGTCTCGGGAGAATCCAAAGTCTGATAATTGACCATGACCTGTTTTGTAGTTTAGCAATGGTAGTAATTTGTCGGCGAAGAAATTGTATGAAACAGGGAGCAAGCATCAAAATGACACACAGCATGACCAGGGGGCCAACAAAGGGTAGGATCCATGAAAACAAGGGATTACTAAACCAACCTAATTGTTTGGTGGGTTGAAATCTTGAAAATAGATCATTACAAAGTTTTTTGAGAGTGTTAACATCGGTTTCAACAACATTTGATTCATTTACAAAGAAACAGCATTGCTTTCCCAATACCACACACGTCCCTCCATGTTTAGCAGTTATTAAGTCCAGTGCTCTTTTGTTTTGGAGCACAACTTTTCTGGCGAGAGAGTTCATTTGTCGTTGGAGAGATTCAAGGCTGTCAGTCGTGGATGCCATTGCCTGGTCCAGCTTGTCTTGAAAATCTCCCGCCAGGTGCTGGGCTTGCACAATTGTCACCGTAGCAACACCTCCAGCACCCAGGGAGAGTGCAAGTCTGATCCCTACCAGCAAAGGGATGAAGATTTCTCTCCGCTGGCGACTGTGTAGGAGGAAGTCGGTTTCTTCCTTCTCAAGTCCTCTGCACCATATGAAAAGGGGGGGGTGATGCATGCTGTACTGGAGAGAGTAATGTTAGTGAGGCATTTGTAATGAGTAGGCTCACTCTTGCTGGAAATGCAAATTGAATAGTTAGCCAGTTGTTTGAATAAGGGGATATCCATTAGATGAGAGTCAGTGAAATCTTTTTTGTTCCTGGGTAGAGAAGGGTGGTATTAACTGGTACTGCTGTCAGTAGAGGCCTATTGCTGGATGTACAAAAGAAGCAGTTAGACATTGGGGTAGGTGGTGAAGGGAAGAAAGTTAGCAACATATTGAATGTATTGGCTCCAGGACATAGTTGATCTTATCTGGTCCTCTGTTTGTCTTTCCTGTAGAATAATATTATGAGTTAGCACAGACTTAGCTGCAGGTACAAGCTGTCAAGAGATATGAAAGTCAGCTGTAGGGTACCTAGAGAATGCACCTGAGTAGAACTTTCTTATTACTCCAATACTCTAGCGATTGTCCCATGGATCTGATTTTTTCCTTTAAATGTTTCTCCGACATAAAATCTCTAGAACATAGTATTAGGGAGAATGGGGGCTGGCTGAAGCGTTGCTGTTAAGCAAGGTAAAGACAGCCATGAGGATGACAGGGAAAGAAGCTCTGGGGGGAATTAAGGGTGAGTGGATGGGGGACATCCAGGATAGGTTTAAGGGGCCTAACAGTAGTAGGCGTTATTTCAGTCCCCAGGAAGGTAATGCTGGGAACTGATTGTATTTTATTTGTGGCTATTACAAAAACTTTTGTCTCTAGTGTGTTTATCATAGCATCTTTTAGGTCTCCTAGAGAGGAATCCTCATCTTGCCAGACCAAGAGGTCATCCATGTAATGATAAACATGTAGGCCCCCTTTTAAAAGCGGTGCTAGCGCATTTGCAACAGCCTCCTGGCATATTGTAGGGCTATTTGCCATACCCTGTGGCAGAACTTGCCATTCATATCGATCAGCTGGACCAGAATTGTTAATTTTTGGAACTGAGAAGGCGTTCTAAGGGAGCGAATTTGGAGTTTTTTCTGGCGTGATGCTGAATCACCCATTATAAAAGGAGAATAGTGTTGTCTAGCGCTTAATGTTCCTGGAGCAGTCTGACACCAGGGGATTGAAATGCTCTGACAGACACAAGCCTAGCTGCAGATTTAAGGTCTACAGAAAAAAAAATGTCTTTTAGAGATCTTTTGTTTGTTTATACAGCGCAGCCACCTTGAACTTTCAAGTGCTCCGAAGGGGCTAGTTAATTTAAATTCTCACCTAACTGGTTTTAGCTGTGGTTTGAGTACCCCAGGGGCAAGATAACAAAACTTTATTTTAGAAGCTGACTTTAAGGCTTATGTGAAGATCTCTTAGAACTTTGGGGATTTTCTAGCAGTGTTAAGATAGGAAAGTAGGGTAAAGTGCTGGTTTCTTAAGGGAACATGCCTGAGATTAAAATCTCAGGTGATTCCACTTAGTCCCCAACACAAGCCTTCCCGCAGGTTTAAGAGGCTGGCAACCGTCCTAGTGACTCTTAAGTGGTTGCTGTGTTACCAGGTTTTTGTATTAGAAAGATGCATAGATAGAAGGTCTTTTGTCTACACCCGTGCAGCCAGTCGGGGGTCTGTTAAGGGGACAAAGAGCCTTCAGCTGACATCAAGGAGTAGCCTTGACCAGAAAGCTTCAGTTGCTTCTTTGTCTTTAATGGTCCCACATGAAGACTTAGACCGAAAATACAGGGAGGAAAAGAGAAGAGACTGCCAGGCCCCAAGAGTGGGGTGGCTTGGAGGCACAGCTGCCTTTTAATCTCCTGATGGGAGATGAAAGAAAGAGAGATTTCTGATCCCGCAAAGGTGGGGATGGCTTAAAGGCAAAGCTGCCTTTTAATCTCCTGATGGAAGATGAAGGAAAAAGAGATTTTTGTTGCTCTCCTGGTGGGAGAGATGCGCCAGCTGCTGGCTGGCGGGGCTCGCTGCTCACAATGTCCCCCTGATTGGGCGGATGTTCCACTCCTGATAGGAGAAAGGGGTTGCTGATGTCTTTCTGATGGAAGGGATACTCACGAATTCACGTTGGTCGCCAGCTGCTGGCTGGCGCGTGGGTCTGCTGCACGTTCCAGGAGCCGCCAGGTTGGGCGCCAGCTGTTGTGCGGGCGGGTTGGTTTCGCGCTGCGGCTGGGCGGGTCTCTCTGGCTCTCAGCGGCTGGGAGTGCTGGCTGCTCTGCAGATCGGCTGGCCCACTTAGGCTATCCACACATGGAGAGACTGTGATCCAAACAGCACGGGTCCCCAACAGACAATGTATATATGTATTGTGCTGGATAGCTTTAGTGTCAACTTGACACACCTGGGTTGAGGGAGCCTCAACTGGGGAATTGCCTCCATTGGACTGGACTGTGGCCATGTCTGTGGGGTATTTTCTTGATTGTTGAGTGATGTGGGAGGGCCCAGCCCACTGTGGGTGGTGCCACCCCTAGGCAGATGGGCCTGTGTTGGATAAGGAAGCAAGCTGAGCAGGGGCCAGGGGAACAAGCCAGTAAACAGCATTCCTCCATGGCCTGTGCTCCAGCTCCTGCTTCCAGGTTCCTGCCCTGAGTTCCTACTTTGGGCTCCCTGATGAACTACGACCTGGGAGTTGTAAGCTGAATAAACCCTTTCCTCCCCAAATTGGTATTGGTCAGAGTGTTTTGTCACAGCAGTGGAGAAACAGACTAGGACATGTATATAGATGACATGCTGAGAACATGCATATACACATAGTAAGCACATACAAATTCACATATTAAGAGCACAAATATAGCCAGGCATGGTGGCACACACCTTTAATCCTAATCCCAGCACTGGGGAGGCAGGGACAGGTTGGAACTCTGTGAGATAAAGGCCAGCCTGGTCTACATAATGAGTTCCAGGCCAGCTGGGGCTAGAGGGAGATCCTGTCTCAAAAAAGGAAGAGCACAAATATGTATTTTTATATACATACATATGGATGAACATACAATATATAGAGACAGAGAGAGAAAGCATAGCATAATTACTATGCTAATAATGATATATATGATTGTGTGTTCTTATGCCTGATCATTAACAAAACAGAAGCAATAAGCACAGCATGTGTTGGAGTGTGTGCTCAGCATGTGGGAGGCTCTGGGTTGGAGGCTCCATCACCTATTCCTGTATCAATAGAAAGAGTGCTTACAGCTGCCGTGAAGGGTTGTTGTGAGAGTTATGCAGAGACCATGGCCTAGGTTGCATAATAATTGATGTACTGGTATCTTTTTTTTTTTTTTTTTTTTTTTTTTTTTTTTTGGTCTTTTTGAGACAGGGTCTCCCTGTAGCCCCAGCTGTCCTGGAACTTACTATGTAGACCAGGCTGGCCTTGAACTCACAGAAATCTGCCTGCCTCTGCCTCCCCAGTGCTGGGATTAAAGGCGTGCACCACCATGCCTGGCCTGATGTACTGGTATCTTTAAACAGTAAAATTACTTATTTAGGATAGCTTTAACAGTAAGAGATGGGGTTGGAACATTTTCACAAACAGGTCAGACCTGTCAAGCTGAGAAAACACTGCAGGTTCCCACAGAGGCCTCCTTTCCCAGCACAGCTCTCTTGTATGTGTCCTAGTGTGGTAGGCCACTCAACACCTCTGTCCTTTATGACCTTTCCATGTCCTGTACCTAATTGGGGTCCCATGAGACAGTGACCTCATTGAGCACCTCTGCTACAGGTGTACCCATCAGCAGAGTGCCCATGGTCCTTGGAGGGGCATCTCCACCTTTACTCACAGATGTCACAGAGGTCCTGGAGTGTTTCTGCTTAAAAAGGA